TCTATCTATCTATCTATCTATCTATCTATCTATCTATCTATCTATCTCTATCATCTATCATATCTAACTATCATATATCTATACATAGATTTTATATATAGAGAGAGATAGATAGATAGATAGATAGATAGATAGATAGATAGATAGATAGATAGATATAGATATAGATATATAGATATATAGAAATTTTCATCTATCTATCTATCTCAGTGGCGCAGTGGTTAGAGTGCAGTACTGCTATATGGCAGATCGAATCCCACCAGGCTCAAGGTTGATTCAGCCTTCCATTCTTCCGAGGTGGGTAAAATGAGGACCCAGATTGTTGGGGGCAATATGCTGACTCTGTAAACCACTTTGAGAGGGCTGTAAAGTACTATAAAGCAGTATATAAGTCTAAGTGTTATTGTTATTGCTATCTATCTATCTATCTATCTATCTATCTATCTGTATCTATCTCATATATCTATCTATCATCAATCATCCATATATCCATCAATCTTTATATCCATCTGTATATCTGTCTGTCTGTCTGTCTGTCTATCTATCTATCCATCCATCCATCCATCTACACACACACAACCACTTTCTTTAAGTCCTATTGCAAAGCAGAGACCTGGCAATTATGGGAGTGATACAAAAATCTAGCCAAATTTACATGCACCCGAACTGATTTTTGGGGTTGAAGCCTTCTTCCTGTAAGCAGCAGTGTCTATTATTCATCCTCTGATTTGTAATATTTCACTCAAGCATGACCATACTTTCAAAAAGCTCTTATTAATTTAATTTATACCCCCTGCCCCCCCGCATTCCACTTCTCCCGTTGGCAAGTTTTCAAATTGACTGATTATATTTAAAAGAAACAAAAATGGCATCTAAAAGTTGACAAGTTAAATTAAAATGTGTGCCAAGACTATTTAGCAGTTAAAAGGCCCGACAAAATAGTTGGACCTTCAACACTTTTCTGAAAAGGGCGTACTTTTCTTTTTAAAAGGCAGAGATTCACAGAAAAAACATTCTGCATTAAACATAAACTAATTTCTTAGAAAGTCAAGCAATACTGATCTTTGTCTAACAGTATCTGCAAAGACTGTGATACAACAAAGCTGTAAAAAGGACAAAGTTGTTCAGTTTCAGTCTAGTGTTCTGAGTATAAAGAGTGTTCAGTGCTAACCAGAGAAATTTAATCTCAGCATTAAAGTAAGTTCATGGCTCTTTGCAGCTATAGAGGGCTGGCTCTCTATAGTAATCGCAGAGGGCTATTGCTACGAGAATAAAATGAGACTTGCATGCACGCCCTCTTGTTGGGAAACTGCCAGCCAAGCTGGAAGGAGGGGCTCAAGTGGGGAACTAGCCCTGATTCCCTGTGTAATTGCAAAAGGCATAAGCCTGACTGTCCCTCTTCCCAAGATCCATGAAACCTTATTGGGGTGTTCCCAGAGAAGGCAAGCAGCCTCAGGAGATTCTTGTAATACAGGTAAAAGTCAATAAATGGATGACAAGCTTTTCATGAGTGACTTTGGTTGTTGCCACCTGACACGTCTCCAGCGTCCCAGAAGAAAGAGGAGCTACAAAAGCAACAAATTGAAATATAAAATATATTTAATGTAAGCTAAAATAAAGCACTAAGCCTACTCAGAACCCCAAAACAAAGTGTTGCATTTTTGCCAGAAATCTGCAAATACTTTTTTTGCAAAAGGCCAAGAACGTATCTCTAAGGGAATTCCTTACTTCTGGAAATTTGTCCCGGACTTCTTTAATTTTCTCGCCTTTCTGCCCAATGATTGTCCGGTGAAAGCGCTGTTCAATGATCAGGTCCTTGGTGCGTTCATTTTCCTAGGAGAAGCCACCAATCAGAAAAGCTGTTGCACCCAGTCCCAAACCAGCCATTCGTTTGGACCCCTTCCCTGAGGACTTCCAGCCAATACACAGAAAGATGCTTGATGCTCTCCTTACCATCCGGGCTGCCATTTCCAGGAGTTCCTTACGAGCCAGCTGAACCCCTTGAGGGTCTCCCTCAATCCGGATCAAGTTGCTCTTCTCGCTGTCGGGAGGAATGCGGACTGAGACTTTGTGCTGTTCCTTGATGCGGTTGACTGGGGGAAAAATATAGAAAAGAGCATCAGAGGGAAATCCACTTCTCTCAGGGCAGGGCAACTATTTCCCCCTTTCTCCAACAAAGTATGATAATGAATAGCGATAGCAATAGCACTTAGACTTATATACCGCTTCACGGTGCTTTCCAGCCTTCTCTAAGCAGATTACAGAATCAGCATATTGCCCTCTGGTGAGATTCAATCTGCCAAATTGCAGGCAGCTGGCTGCAGCAGAAGTAGTGTAATGACCCGGGGCATGGCACAAAGGCAACACAGTCAAATAAGCAAGAAGAGTCCCTTTATTATCTCCAACTTTGCCCCCAATGTCCAGGTTACCTTTGGCTGAAAAAAACTCTCCTAGGAACAGCCTTTAACTATAGAAAATTCAATCCAAAACAAGGTACATACAGACTGTAACCAAAAATCCAAACGAACAAAGCTGTAGTAATTAACTTGACAAGGCAGGAGAAAGACTTTCAGACTTGAAAGCATGGCAACACTCATACAGTTGGGAATATGCCAGAAACACAGATAAGCCACAACAATACCAGATAAATTCACAACTTGCTCCCAACAACTTGCTATGCGCAGCTTCCCTTTTTAAACTCTGTATTCACAGCTGCAGCTAATGAAGAGAATCAGGGCCGTTTCCTTCCCAGTAAACCACGCAACTCACATTGCTCCCTTCTCCGTTCCTCTCTGCATGCTCTAGGATGAAGGGGGCCTGGGTCTTCCTCTGAATTCCCTCTCCCTTGCTCTACCTCTTTCCTGTTCTGCCCAGCCAGACTGTGCCCTTCCCCAGTTTCTTCCACAACCACACTCCCACTCCCTGTTGGAATCAGATTCCAAAAGGGACATGACAAGTAGCTTGCAGTACTGCACTCTAACCACTGTGCCACTGAGGCTCTTGTGAAAATACAAAGAAACTTTAAAATCCCCAAAGCAAAGTTTTATTGAACGCATCACTGCAGCACAGAAAAAAGTAGAACCAACTCTTAAATTTTCCCATGCAACCCTTCGTAGTGAACCCTTCCTCTCATGGAACGGGTCACATGATTTAATTAAGAATAAGCATTTTATTTTGATAACAGGCTGCTTCTTTGCCGACATTCCTCTGGGGATCATTAATAATTAGGAATTCTCTAACTTGGTTGTGATCCCCTAAAACTAAAAAAATGAATTGGGGTGAACCCCGTGAACAAAACCAACAAATTCTTTACAATTAAGAGTTTAGGTAAAAATAAATACAGATAACCCTCAACATACAACCATAACTGAACCCAAATTTCTGTTGCTAAGTCAAGACAGCTAGATTTTAGAAAAAGACAAGGATGTCATTCATTCTCTCTGCCTCCATAAATCTTCATTCTTTCTGCTCTTAAGTTGCACACCAAAAGAAAAATAACATGCTGTCCATGGCTCTTTAAAGGCTAATTTTTTTTATTATAGAGGCAGTCCTCAACTTACGGCCACAACTGAGCCCAAAAATTTCTGTTGCTAAGCAAGGTAGTTGCAATCTTGTCAGTTTTGCTCCATTTTATGATCTTTCTTGCCACAGTTGTTAGGTGAATCACTTCAGTTGTTAAAAGTTAGTAACATGGTTGTTCAGTGAATCCAGCTTCCCCATTGACTTTATCAGAAAATCACAAAAGGTACACTGCAACTTTCATAAGTACATGCCAGTTGCCAACCATTTGACTTTAGATCACTTGACCACAGGGATGCAGCAACAAGCGTGAAAAACAGCCATGTCGCTTTTTTCAGCACCATTGTACTTCGAATGGTCACTAAATGAACTTTTGTAAGTAGGGGACTACCGTATTCCTTTTGAGTAGTTAAATTTTATAGTAATACACCAGAGGGAGCCTTAAAACTGTCAGAAAGGGAGCAAAGGCCAAGAGATTTTACTTTTGTCTGTGAGAGTTGATCAGATCTTTTTAAAAAGAATATACTCCCCTCCACAAAAATACCTGGGAGCCCGAGTTAATCTCTCTGTCAAGATAACCTACAATACAGGGTTGGAGCGAGATCAATTTATTTTGTGGGTTGATGGGGAAATAAAAAGGCGGAAGCGAAAATGCTACCCATAGCCCTGAGCCAAGTCACGCAGATGAGAATCTGGGTCGCAGTTGAAAAAAAGATTAACACCCAATATGGAAGAGGAAAAGGGCCGACTGGTTAACCTCTTTAGGAAGCAAAAAAGCGAGAACTTGGCTTCCGTCACTTATTGGTCATCCTGGGAAATCCCAAAGGTGCTTTTTCAAAATGCAACTCGACTCTATTTTTTCTTGAAGACGTTTCGCTTCTCATCTAAGAAGCTTCTTCAGTTCTTAAACTGAACTGAAGAAGCTTCCTGGATGAGAAGCGAAACATCTTCAAGATAAAACAAAGTCCAGCTGTCTTTTGAAAAAGAACCTTTTGGGACAAATCATGGATGTTGGATGACTGAGAATCTCCATGAACACTCAAGGAAATGTTAACAGAAAAGATTTAGTTGTTATCTAGTGTTGTGTGTGTGTGCTTCAATCTCACAGTAATTGCTGGGAAAATTAACCCTGCTCTAGACACCTCAAATCCCTCAGGGTTGTTTCATTGCTCTCTAGACTCACTGTTAGCTCCGTTTTTCCCAATCAGATGACGATGAAATCTCTGGTCAATAAGCACTTCAGTGTAGTCCATCCGTCTGAGCTGCAGAAGAGAACGGGGTGGTGAGACACAAGACTTGCAAGACAAACATGGAGCCTCAGACAAGTCAGATTCTATCTTGGGCGTCAGAAATCACGCTGAAGACTTGCAGACTTCAACTCCCAGAATTCCCCAGCCAGCCATGGGAATTGAAGTCTTCCCGTTGCCAGGTTTGGAGGCTCCCATGCTAATGTAAAACCGAACTGGTCAGGCACACTCTCTCACTTCCCTCACCACCAAGGTCCCTTCTAGTCCTTTGAATCTATGATTTACTTATCCTAGCAACAACAAAGCTCTTCTGAGATTCTTGGTGGTACCTATTTATCTACCCGCGTTTGCATGCTTTCAAATTGCTAGGTGGGCAGGAGCTGGAGCAAGGAACCGAGCGCACCCTGTTGCGCAGTGCTGGGTGTCGAACCTGAGCTGTCACCTTTCCAGCCGACAAGCCCAGCTTCTTTTAACCACTGAGCCATCACCCCCATTCACAACATGGCAAAAGCTGGTATCAAACTGTGGGAGGCAGAGATAAGCCACAGAACTGCAGCTTTCTCATTGGAATTCTACGGCACGTTTGAATAGGTAGGGCTCCAATTTCTGGATTCGTTTACAAGAAAGTTTTAAGAGGCAAAATAACACATGGAAAAGGAAAGTATTTGGTGTTTTAAGCACACTCTTCTAAAAATAGTTCCGCATCATCTCTCCTACAGGGGACACTCCTAATATCACTAGCTACAGATAAATTATTGACCTGGATATAAAAGGCTTGTTCTTCCTGCTATAGAGAGGAGTCTGACAAAGAAAGAGAAAGTACATGTAAGATTCACAAGAGGACTCACCAGGTCCCGAATGATTTCTTGAATCTGGTTTTGGGCCAATTCCACCTCCTCAGTGGGTCCTTCTAGAGTAATCTTCTCATCGCCATCAGTGAATTCAATGTGAACCTAAAAGAAAGAAAGTCTACTACCAAGAAGGGTTGCATGTTTTTCTCCTTCTGTCCTGGCCACTTTTTACAGAGGCACAAATGAGAGTGTTTTAACAAACTCATCACTGCTTGGTTTGGTTTGGTGGCAGCAGTGCCTCAGACAGAAAGTCCCTACAGAAAGGGATGAGGACAGCCAAGAAGATTATAGGAAGCTCGACTCCCATTATTCAAGATACTGCTTATGAGCGCTATGTGCTTAGACCTCAAAACATTGTTAGAGACCCACACACACCTACTTCACAGCCTGTTTCCATTGCTCCCCTCTCGGAGGAGGTTTTTGAAATATTTCTAGCAGGACTACCTGATGAGCCACAGTGACACAATGGTTAGAGTGCAGTACTGCAGGCTACTTCTGCTGACTGCCAGCTGCCTGCAATTTGGCAGTTCAAATCCCACCAGGCTCAAGGTTGACTCAGCCTTCTGCCCTTCCGAGGTGGGTAAAATGAAGACCCATATTGTTGGGGGCAATACACTGACTCTGTAAACCACTTAGAGAGGGCTATAAAGCGGTACAACAGTATATAAGTGCAAGTGCTATGGCTATTCTATAACAGCTTTGTTCCCAATGCCATTCATCTGGTAAACTCACAAGATTCGTTTCTCTCACCATATATATATCTCTCACTATATATATTATGACACCTTCATAATCTGGCCACACGGGAAAGAAAAACTGAACAACTTCCTCACATACCTCAACAGTCTACACCCCAAAATACAATTCACCATGGAAACAGAAGCCAACAATCAACTTCCCTTCCTAGATGTCTTGGTATACAAAAGATCCGATGGCTCCCTAGGACACACCATCTACCAGAAGAAAACACATACTAACCGCTATCTACATGCACTCTCACACCACCACCCAGCACAGATCAATTCCGTAGCCAAGACACTCATCTCCAGAACAAAATGCTTAGCCGATGAACAACACCAAAAAACCGAACTACACACTCTCACCAACGTACTTACAGCCAATGGATTCCAAAGAAAGAAGATTACCCACCTAATCCAAAAAGAAGCCCCAACCAAAATCCAAGACAGAGAACAAGAAAACGGAAAAGCCCTCCTCCCATATATAAAAGGCACTACAGACAAAATTAGCAAGATCCTCCAAAAACACAACATCAAAACAGCATTCTGCACAAACAAAAAAATATCCACCATCCTAAGAAACCCCAAAGACAAAATCGAATTAGAAAACCAAGGAGTATACGAAATCCCCTGCACAGCCTGCCCTAACACATACATTGGACAAACTAACAGAAGAATAAGCGCACGCATTGAAGAACATAAGAACTCAATCAAAAAAGAAGAAACGACCTCTTCCCTGGTCCAACACCTCAAAGCCACAGGACATGAAATTGATTTTAAAAATACCAGAACTATCGCCAAAACCGAACACTTCAACAGCAGAATAATCAGAGAAGCCATAGAGATAGAAAAACGCCCACACAGCATGAACAAACGAGATGACACCTCCCACCTTCCAGCCATTTGGAAACCCGCCCTCATGAACAGACGAGTACCTAACATGAAGAAGGACACTGGACCCACACCCATGAGAGCCACACAAGATGCCACCACCACACTTCCATGTAGAAAACAGACTCCCACCCATTCAGAAAATGAGAAACGACCATGGACCAGAAGCTGCACTGCAGCTGCATCACTACCCACTTCAAACCCCTCTGAGCCATACATGAAGCAAACCAACACCCACTATGAAGATGCAGCAGGACCACGAACTAGAAGCCAAACAGCAAGATCACAACTCTCCAGCTCAAATCCCCCAGCAACTAAAACTAACCTGAGCACAACCAAGCCCCCTCCTGAACAGAACACGCCTCCAACCAATCAGAACACGGCTAACCCCCCAACCAATCAGAACACAGCCAAACCCCCTACCAATGAGAACACCCCCCCACCCAATCAGAACACAGCCAAGCCCCCACCCAATCAAGTTCCACCCCCACTGGCAGTTAAAAGGAGGAAGCAGCTGCAATCTCCATTACTCTGAGAAGCACAGAGCTGGAGACAGAAGCCTGAAGATGATGAATGAGACTTCATCGAAACGTTGCCTAGATACTTCAAATCTTACGCGGGAGAAAACCCGAACAACCAAAGATCTATATATATATATATATATATATCGAAATGCATCGAAATTTCATTTTAATGTATGTCGATTAATGTACATTCAGTGTGACAATAAAGTTATCCTAAGTCTAAGTGTATCCCAACAGGTCTCAACTAGCATTGTTTAGTTTTTATGGGGCGATGACATCCTTTTTTTTCAGTGTTGTTATACCTTTGAATTAGCAGTGGGATCCTACCTGTTCCACTACTGGTTTAGTGATCGCATGTGTGTCCCTAATGCACACGCAGCTTTCTCCGCACCAGCTGAGGCCTGCAGCTCCAATCAGCTGAGAGGATAAAGAAGAGAAAAGCTATTTTTCATCCTCTCAGCTGATTCTCAAAGGCTTTTTTTACTGCCGGTTTGGCTGAACTGGTCCAAACCGGTAGCATACCACCACTGCTTTGAATGGTCACTAAATGAATGGTTGTAAGTCAAGGACTATACTAACCGATACACCGATATTTATGGTCTTCTATGTTCTATAAAGAGAGGGGCAAAGAGTTCAATAGACTATTCAAATTTAGCTCCTGCTTTTCCAGTCTCCTCAAGGGAGAGGAGTACTTTTATTTTTAAATAATATTTCATACATTAAACCAGAGATTTTACTCTCTGTTTTATTTATAGCTTTGTTATTTTAGGAATACTTGCCTTAGGGAGTTGCTGGGTAATTCTGCCAATATTCTGTCCTTTCTTCCCAATTATAAAACGATGTAACCAGGCTGGGGCCATTACTTCAGCTACCATCACACTCTTCGCCTAGGGAAAAGGGACAGGATGGCGAGAAGCATTTACCGGCTTCATTCACAAGAGTGACTTTGAAAAGCTGGCTACAGACAGGTCTCCTTTCAAGTTAGATACCAAAACCGGCACATTTTTATGCCAGCATTTTTAGCGCTGCAATACTAGCATTCTGCCTCCAGATGGCATAATGGCATGATTGTCGCATTATCACCATGTTTATTTATTTTTTTCTTAATTAGATGAGCAAGTTAGCCAATTACACTAAGCCAGAGTTGGTTAATCTTCAGCTTCTGCGATTCACATACCCGTGTTTTCCAGAAAATAAGACTGGGTCTTATTTTCTTTTGGGCCCCAAAATCAGCACTAGGGCTTATTTTTATTTTTTTGGGGGGGGGTCTTATTTTTTTCCCATACACGAGAGACACACTTCTTCTGCTTACTCACAGTGGGGCAGGAGGTGGTGGGGATGAAGCTGCCCCACATGCCCCGCACTGGCTTACTTCAGGGCCCCTGCAGTTAGGCCACCCATGCCCCAGCACCTGTCTCACCTCCGGCAGCCCCGTCCAGCAGGACGCTGCATGACCACCAGCCCACTTTTTCTGCTTGCTCACAACCGCAACAGAGGAGGAAGCCGAGCAATGCACCGCTGCTGCGGCCACGAGGCAAAGTGGGAGGGTGGAGCTGTGCCATGCACCCCTCAGCCAGACCACCCACGCCCCAACACCTGCCTCATCTCACGGCTGTGGCACTAGTGTGCCACTCGGTCTCCTGCTCCATTGTAGCGGCAAGCAAGCAGAAGAAGTATGTCAGCAGCGACATGGGCTCCTCTGTACATGGCTGCTGGTGTTGCCGCCATGAGGATGGCCTGGCTGTAGGAACACTGAGGTAAGCCGGTGCAGGGCACGTGGGGCAGCTCCATCCCCCAGCCTTGCCTAGTGGGTGCGGCACCGCTAGCAACAAGACAGAATGGATGGGCGACCAGCTGTAAGCTCTTAAGTAGCGCCTATTTGGGGGGTAGGGCTTATATTAGGCACACCTAAAAACATGCCAGGTCTTATTTTCGGGGTGTCCCTCAACCCCCTCCAATTTTGGTGAAAATCAAACACACACACCCCCATTTTTAGTTAGGAAACAAAGGAAACAAAGTATTTTAAGTTCAAAAATGTCATTGTTAAAAATAGGGGGAAGAAATTCTCCAAAACCCCAATGTTTCATTAGATAAAATGGCCCCACATTCTCCCCCCTCCCATTTAAGTGCCATTTTTGACCATCCAAAGACTGCCTATCGCTACTCCTCTGTTGGTTGAATGTGGTTTCCTGAAAAAACACAATTTACTAAGTTCACAAGGACACCACATCCTGTTCGTGACTTACAATGGCCAAATTCACCATCATCTAAACCAGGGGTCGCCAACCTTTTGGATCTCAGGGACCACCAAACTCATACTTTTAAATCCCGAGGACCACTAATATGATTTTTTTTAAAAAAGCTAATATATTTAATATAATTGTTTATGTTAAATATAAATTTATACATATACGTGTGTGTGTGTGTGTGTGTGTTTTCTTAAGTTTTCGCCGGTATTTATATGTATGGTATTCAGCTTTGTTCGGGTATTTTCCCACGTCATTATAGTTGTGCTTTTAAAGTTGTAGCAAAGTTTTGGCAGAATCTCATCTTCCATCATCAGGCTTCTGTATTGTGTTCGTCTATGAGTCAGACTTTCACAGCCGTTTCTGTTTTAAATTTGGGGCTAGCCTATTGCTGTGCCAGAATGGTTTTTTCTTCATCCTGATTGGTTGGGAGTCTTGGTCTGTGTTTATTGGTCTTGGA